TTTACAAATTAATTTGTACACAAGTTGAAGAACAATGTAAAATTATTTTTTGTAAGTATAGGAAATATTTGTATGTTGGGTCTTTAAGATTACACCCCTGTATGGGACCGTGTTCGTAAGTACAAGCATCGTAGGTCTGATATTCGTAAATTGGAGACCCCCTGTACAGGGGTGAGTACCCGCCTCTCGCACTGTGGTGCTGTGCAGTTGTGACTCATTATATGGGGTAGACCTGTCATCTCCCCATTTTTCAGCTGTTTCTACCCTATCCTCATTGATATGAGCCCCAGCCACTGACTCATGGGGCCTTCTTACATTAGGATGAAATCATCAGCACAGTTGCCAATAGAAAGTGGTGATGATCATTTTCCCTCTTCTCTCCTTTATCTTCCTTCTGACCTATCCACCAACTATTTTTTCTTCCAGGGTGCCCTGTGTGTTCCTCACATCTCTCAGCATTCTCTTCATTTTATTTTGGTTGTAGTTTTGCTAAAAACTTCGTAATTTCTCCGACCCGCCAATCAATGTTTACAGCCCTTTTCCTTCTTCACCTCTCCTGACTGCATTTTTGAAAGTGTTGCTTCATACTCAGCACAGATCCTACCAGCACAGACCTTCTTCAGCTCCTTCATAGATACCTCCAGTACAGAGGTGACTCATTCACAACTCCTGTGCAGATACTATCATTGCGAATAAGGCTCAGTCAAAGCTTCTGTGCAAATCGTACAAATATAGAGCCTCTGCTAGCAATCTGTCTTTTCCCAGCACTTCCTATCCTCAGGGCTCTTCCAGATCCTGATATAGGACTTTCCAAACCATGACCTTCTATCTGGAAGAGCAAGGACAGCAAATACATTGGAACACCACCACCTGCAAATTCCCCTGCAAGCCATTCACTATCCTGATTTTGAAATATATTTCTATTCCTTCTCTGACGCTGGTTTAAGATAGTAGAATTCCCTCCCTAAGGGCAATCTGGGTCTACCTACAGCATGAGGACTGCAGCAGTTCAAGAAGGCGGCTCACCACACCTTCTCAAGGGCAAATAGGGACGGGCAATAAATACTGCACCATCGTATCATCACAGCATTTTGAATCCTACATTCCAATCTAGCTTTCATAAACTTCGAGTCCCTTGTCTAATAAGAATCTAACAACTGCTGCCTTTACAATAATTAACAATCCTGCCTTCACTGCCTTTTGGGGCAGAAAATTCCAAAAACACAATACTCTGAGAAAAAACATTCTCATTTCTGTCCTAAGAGAGGATTCCTAATTTTAAGACAGTTCTCCTTTGTCTGGACTGACCCACAAGAAGAAACATCCTTTCCACATGCACCTTTACAAACCCATACAAGATGTTATAAAGATCCATTAAATCATTCCTCGCTCACCCAAAACCCCAGAGGAAACAGTTCTGATGAAGGGTCCCAACCCGAAACATTGACATTCCTGTTCCTGCCTGTCCTGCTGTGTTCCTCCAGATCCACATTGTGTTGACCCAGAGGAAACAAGCCTAGTCTTATCCTTAGAAGACAATACACTCATTCCAGGTTACAATCTAGTAAACCTCCATTGAATATCAAAATGCTTTTAGATTCTTTTGCAATAAGAGACCAAGTCTGGACATAAGATATTGAGAGGATCAAGCAAGAGAAAAATTCCAATGCAGGCAGTCAATGGTATCTAGAGGAAAAGGCAAGGAAAGGACACTGAAACAGGCAGTCAAAGGTGAGTAATTTTACTTCCTTCTTTCTTATCTTCAGTTTAAGTACTTCAGAAGTAGGTTTAAGACAGGCAGGCCAGCTCAGCTATTCGAGCACATATCCTGTGTAATGCAGGGAGTAGTGGATACCTCATGTGTCTTTAATGATCACATGTGCAGAAAGTAATTTGAGCTGCAAAAATTTGACATCCAGATTTTGGAACATTAAAGGTTATTGTGAAAAATAAAAATTCAAAGCTTGTGAGTAGATAAAAGATTGGCTGGCGAGCGAGCAGCAAACAGAGTGTGCATAAATGGGCCTTTATCTGATTGGTAGGACATGATGAGTGGAGTTCCACAGGGCTCTGTTCTGGAGCTTTAACTTTTTACAGATTACATCAAGACTGCAATGAGTGGAGCGAAGGCATGGAAGCTAAATTTATAGATGGCACCCAGAGAGGGATGAAAGTATGTTGTGAAGATGGAGAATAACGTGGGAAAATGTGAAGTAGTTCACTTTGGCAGGAAGATTGAAAGGCAGACTAGTATTTAAATGGGGACTGACTGCAGAATTCTGAGTTGCAGAGGGATGTACGTGCCCTTGGATCACAATTAATTAGTACACAGCTATAGCATCTAATCGAGAAGGTAAATGGGATCCTCTCCTTTATTGTGAGAGAACCTCAACATGAAAAATAAAGATGTGTTTCGGGTGTAAAAGGCGTTTGTGAGACAACATTCTACTTACTGCATGAAGTTTTGGCTTTCATATTTAAGGAAGGATGTAAATGTATTCGAGGTTGAACAGAGGGCATTTACTCGGTCAATGCCTGGAATGATTGGAGTATCTAATGAGGATACGTTGGACATGCCAGGCTAGTTTCTGCTGGAGTTGAAATGAGTGATGGCTGACTTGGTTGCAATAGTTAAGATCCAGAATAGTCGTGAGAAAGTGACATGGAAAAGATGTTTGTAGATCACTCCAGAGCTATGGGGCAATGTTTTAGAATTAGGGGTTGCTCTTTTAGGACAAAGCTGAGGAGGATTACTTTTTTCCACGTTGAAGAGCCAGAAAGCCCCGGGCTGTTTTCAAAATACCAAAAGAGGCAGCAGCTGCATCAAAAGACTGTGTAATCTTTGTCTTTACCTTTAGGATCTGGTCATCTTAGGCCAAGAACATTACTACAGGTGTACCTCAGGATAGTATGTTAGGCCTGGCCAACATCAATGGATTTCTCTCCATTCAAGATCAGAAATAGAGATGTTAATCATGATTACACCATTCATCACTCCTCAGCTTTGAAGCAGTCCATGTTGAGTACTGGGCAACTTCCAGGTTTGGCAAGTAAAATTCACGACACACATTTGCTAGGCAATGACCATATCAAATGAGATTTTCAAATGATCTTCAGTTGGCCGGATCCTGAGCTATCGACAAAACTTAATACTCAGCCAGAACGAACCCTCCTCACACTCTTATTGATAACGCCCACAGTTCTCCATTGTCTCTGCTATCCCCCACCTCATTGCCTCCTCATTCTTCTTTTGATATTTGCACCTGTCACATTGTCTTTCCTCTCCATTTATTTCCCCACTACTGAGTGTTTATTAGCCCTGGGAATTTGTGTTTCTCTGTGATTATAGTTTGATTTTTAGTGACAGCTGAAATAATGGTGACCTTCCTCAGGGTCACCAGACCTGAAACGTTAACTCTGTTTTCTCCTTCACAGATGCTGCCAGACCTGCTGAGCTTTTCCAGCAACTTTGTGTTTGTTCCTGATTTACAGCATCCGCAGTTCTTTTGTTTTTTCTTCTGTTTAGGATCTTCACATGACCAAACAGGCTGATTCTTGACCACAGATCTATGGTCACGTGGGGCAGGATGTCTAATGAGATATTGGGATCCAGAGTGCAGGATTTGTTTCCTTTCCTTTCCTTCTCTGCTGCCGTTCTGCCTCAATGTTATAACGTTTTAACTGAAGATGCAGCCTGATGAACTTGAACAATTTTGAACAATTTGTACAAGCTCCTTCCAGTCCATTTAAGTCAATGATTCCACATTTCAAGCAGGCTTCAGGGAGTCTTGGAAGCATTTACTGTGTCTTCCCCTGGAACATTGGTCATGTGTGAGTTTAAAAAATAGGACCTGGAGAGGGAGATAGTTTATAACCTTCCAGCCAAAGAGCCCAGTCCACCATAGTTTGCAGGAGTTTAGACTGAATGCTCTTGAAGCTGACATAGAGTTGTACACGAGTATTTGTTTAATTATCTCCCTGTTGAATCTGAAGGATGCAACCTGGGCATTTATGACAGAATTTCTCCTGCAATTTTTAAGTAACACTGGTCCATTGGCTGGGTCTCGCTGTAGCATCAGGGTCTATTGGCAACAGCCGCTTTGTACTAAACAAAAACTGAAAGAACTGCGGATGCTGTAAATCAGAAACAAACACGGAAGTTACTGGAAAAGCTCAGCAGCTTTGGCAACATCTGTGAAGAGAAATCAGATTAATGTTTTGGGTCCGGTGACCCTTCTCAATAGCATGTGGTGGTCTTTGTTTTCAAACAGTCGTTACCATATTTTGTTGAATGCTGAGCTGGTGCAATTGATCCAATGTTGGATCTCCTCAATGACTGTGACTTTTTGAGAGAGCTGCATGGCAGCAAAGATCTGGGAAGTGCTTAGCAAATTCTCCTTCAATATGTAAGGTAAGTTAAACATTTAACTAACTAGGCATAGGTTGATATGAATTCAATTTGGCAACACTCGAGGAGATCAGTTACAAGTGATGCTGCAGATGTATGATTTTGAAGGTCACCGAAAGAGATATGGAGGTGACTATCTCCAAGCTTGGATCCACACCCCAGCTTTAAAAGCTGGTTCAGCAGGAACGGTTATAGACAATGAAAATGGAATTTACTATTATCAATTTTAATTTATCTTGGCCGGGGAAAGTTGAAGTTTCTGTTTTATTGGTTCATCTCAATGAAGGAATCCAAGACTACGTGAAGAATAGCCAGAGAGGGTGTTTTTGAAAAGTAGTTTCAAATATCAGGGTACTTCAGAGACTTCATTTGCCTCAAACTGAGCCACTCTGTAACTTTACTGATCCCAGGACTGGGGAGCCCTGGTTCTGTTACAAACCAAAGAAACTTCCCTGCTCTGCTCGTATCAACCATGCTAAAGGAGGTTATGAGAAAAATCTCTTAATTGGGGAAGAGAACCGTTATTTCCAAAGGTATGTCAATAAATGTTCTTTTACTTATATTTGTTTTCCCAACTTTTGTTCTGACTCAGATTATCTTAAAGACATCAAGTGTAGAACCAGACTTCCCGACACTGGAAGATCATTTAAAAAGTTCAACTTGAGGTACTTCCTGGAGCATAACAATATTTACAACCTTTGTTAGTGCATTGATTTGGAGCTGTCATTAATTTAAGAAAATTCAGATGCATGTTCACTGTAAAAATATGAAAATGAATAACAAGTTATCATAGACTATCCTCAGAGAAAGCTAAGACATTCCCAATTTCAGAGTTAGTAATGGCCTTAAAATTGATTGACATTTCAGACGTGATGTATCCATGGAATGTGGGCATTTCCATTATGTCCAACATTTATTGTCCATCCCGAATTGCACTTGTGATTTCAGGGAAGAATGTCTAAGATTTTTACCCAGTGATAACGAGGGAACAGGGATATAGTTCCACATCAGAATGGTATGTGATTTGAATTTATATCCGGTGATGTTCAAATGAGCCATTGTCTTTCTAAATGGCTGAGGCCACAGATTTGGAAGGTGCTGTCATTGAAGTCTTGGCAAATTGCTGCAGTGCATTTTGTATAATTACATAGCCCATACTGGTGGCAGAGGGAGTGAATGTTAAATGTGATGAATAGGCCCTGATCAAGTGAGCTGCTTTGTCCTGGATGCTGTTAAGCATCTTGAGTGTAGGAGCTGCACTCATCCACCAAGTGGAGATCATTCCAGCACATCCCTGTGCCTGGTAAATGGTGGAAAGACTTTGAAGATCCTGAAAGTGAGTTACTTGCTGCAGAATTCCCAGCCTCTGACTTGTTATTGCAGCCAATGATATTTAAGTTATTTGACCCAATCAGTCCATTTCAGATCCCAGTAAAAGAATTCAATCAATCCTTTTCTCTGTTCTATCTCTGGAAAAGTATTTCCCTAAAGTCCCCAGTAATTTCAATTTAAAATTATTGGTTGTCTCTGCGTCCACTATTCTCTTAGACAGCAAGTTGTAGGTCTTTTCCAACCGGCTGAGTAAAACAGTTCATGCATTTCTTGCCCCAAATCCTAGTTCATTTTCACAAATCCTTTCCATCCACAATGCCATCAGTGAATGAGCAAAGCTGTTTTTTGTCTAACTTCTCTAAACTTGACGTGTATCAAATTGCCCTTCAATCCCTTTGCTCCAAGAGGATCAACCCTAGCTTCTCCAACTTGATCTTATAGCCAAATTTCCTCATCACTGTATCTATCCTGGCAAATCTTCCCTTCCCCCTTTCAAAGACATTCACCCATGTAGTCCTGCCCCATTCATTCATGCATGGTGGTAGACAATTAAACATCTATCAGGCTCCAAAAATACTCCCATCCTTAACAGTGGGAGTGTTGAAGAAACAACTAGTCAGACAGCAGTACACTGAATAACGTCTTTTTTATTACTTGCATGCAAGAAGAGTCGCCCAGTGGGTTGCTGACACCCAGCAGGGTGAATCTGATCTAGGTGGTTACAGTTGCTTTTTATGTATAAGTCATATTTCCTGAATACATTTTGATAATAATCTATAGCAACACAATAAACCAATCATCTTATGGCATCTTATTAATGCATTATCTGTTTTACGCTTAACTATCATCACCTATGTGCAGTTTGTTAAAGGCTTTCTGCTCCCTGCTGCACAGGTGATCCTATTGGTGCGATTATTATGTGAGATAACAAGGCGTAGAGCTGGATGAACACAGCAGGCCAAGCAGCATCAGAGGAGCAGGAAAGCTGACGTTTCGGGCCTAGATGATTATTATGTGCCAGTTGCATGGCTATCGGCATATTTCTCAATCCCACTTTAGTGCTAAAGTACAATGTTTGCTTACTTAGTCTTTCCTGCTTTTGACTTACTGGAATGTTTTGTGGTTTAGCACTATCTCATATATTTTTGCTTTACTTACTCATCTTGTCCTGTTCACCATTAACTCTTCCACCCCTTGTACCACCTACATACTTATTACTAACCTTCCACAGGAGAGTCCCACACATTGAAATAAAGTCAACTCTGAAACATTGGCATCAATCTTCAACCAAAAGTGCCAAGTGAATGGTGTATCTCAGCCTCCTCCTTAGGTCCTGAGTATCACAAATACCAGTACAAATGGCTGAAGGCACTGAACATTGCACATAATCCAACAACAGTACCAAAGAATTGTGCTGCAAACTAGTCATGTCACAGCCAAGCTGTTCCAGTATAGCTACAACACTGGCATCTAGTCAACAAGGTGGAAAATTGCTGAGTATGTCCTGTCCACTCAAAGTAGGACAAATCCAATCCGATCAATTATCAACCCATTAGTCTACTCTCAATCATCAGCAAAATAGAAAGTGTCTTTAATAGTGCTATAACCAGGCATAATCTGCTTACTGATACTTAGTTTAGATTCCACCAGGACCACTTAGCTCCTGATCTCATTACAAACTTAGTCCAAATATGCTTAAAAGAAATGAACTCCAGAGGTGATGTGAGACTGCCTGCCTTTGATATCAGGGAGCATTCAAGTCTGGCATTAAGGAGCCTTAAAATACCTGAGTCATTGGCAAGCAGGCGTAATTTCTCAGTTGTTCAGAATCATACCTGGCGCAAAGGAAAATGGCTTGGTGGTCAATCAATCAGCTCAGCCTAAGGACATGTTTACAAGGATTCTTCAAGGTATTGTTCAAGGCCAAACAATCCTAAATTACTTTATCAATGACCTTCCATCCAACATCTGAAATGGAGATGTTCACTGATGATTGTACAATGTTCAGCACCATTCATGACTTGTCATATATAGAAGCAGTTTGTGTCCGTATATGGCAAGATCTAGATAATATTCAGGCTTGGGCTGATAAGTGGCATGTAACATTCTCACCACACAAGTGCCAGGCAATGACCATTTCCAGCTAATGAAAATCTATTGCCCCCTGGATGTTCAATGGCTTTATTATTGCTGAATCTTGCACTTTCAGTATCCTGGGTGTTACCATTGACCAGAAGCTGAATTAGATTGGAGATCCAATCATTCTCTGATTTCCCGCTGAAATTGTCTAAAACCTTACCCACTGCTGATGTTAAACTGACTGACCTGTAGTTATTGGGAATGTCCTGAGGTGCTTTCTTGTCCGTCCTTCCTATCAATTTTCACCCCATACATTAGCTTTACCACCTCTACTTCTACTGATATGTTGTAACATTTCTTTTCCTAGGAAACGTAATAATATTGTAGTCATCTATATGTAACACAAATGAGGTACGTGGCTTTTACTTACTTGAAAATGTCTGGTGTGTGTATTTAAAACTAAACGAATATGGACAATATTTTTGGACTAAAATTGTGTGTATTAGTTATGACATTATTATCATGACTTAACCTTTGATATATTAATATCTACAGGGGTGTCAACATTAAGAAGCTCATATTTCCCAGATCACCAATGTATATAATGGTCGAGCCTTGTCCCCAAACTAGAAAGACAATTAATATCTAAATCTCAGGGACAACAAGGTGCAGGGCTGGATGAACACAGCAGGCCAAGCAGCATCATAGGAGCAGAGAGGCTGACGTTTCGGGCCTAGTCCCTTCATCAGAAAAGGGGGATGGGAAGGGGGTTCTGAAATAAATAGGGAGAGAGTGGGAGGCGGATAGAAGATGGATAGAGGAGAGGAAACAAACAGGTCGAAGAGGCGGGGATGGAGCCAGTAAAGGTGAGTGTAGGTAGGGAGTTAGGAAGGGGATAGGTCAGTCCAGGGAGGACGGACAGGTCAAGGGGGCGGGATGAGTTTGGTCGGTAGGAGATGGAGGTGCGGCTTGAGGTGGGAGGAGGGGATAGGTGGGAGGAAGAACAGGTTAGGGAGGCAGGGACGAGCTGGACTGGTTTTGGGATGCGGTGGGGGAGGGGAGATTTTGAAACTTGTGAAATCCACATTGATACCATTGGGCTGCAGGGTTCCCAAGCGGAATATGAGTTGCTGTTCCTGCAACCTTCGGGTGGCATCGTTGTGGCACTGCAGGAGGCCCAGGATGGACATGTCGTCTGAGGAATGGGAGGGCGAGTTGAAATGGTTCGCGACTGGGAGGTGCAGCTGTTTATTGCGAACCGAGCGTAGGTGTTCTGCAAAGCGGTCTCCGAGCTTCCGCTTGGTTTCCCCGATGTAGAGGAAGCCACACCGGGTACAGCGGATGCAGTATATCACATTGGCAGATGTGCAGGTGAACATCTGCTTGATGTGGAAAGTCTTCTTGGGGCCTGGGATGGGGGTGAGGGAGGAGGTATGGGGGCAGGTGTAGCACTTCCTGTGGTTGCAGGGAAAAGTGCCGGGTGTGGTGGAGCTGGAGGGGAGTGTGGAGCGGACAAGGGAGTAACGGAGAGAGTTGTCCCTCCGGAAAGCAGATAAGGGTGGGGAGGGAAAGATGTCTTTGGTGGTGGGGTCGGATTGCAGATGGCGGAAGTATCGGAGGATGATGCGTTGGATCTGGAGGTTGGTGGGGTTGTACGTGAGGACGAGGGGAATTCTTTTTTGGTTCTTATTGCGTGGACGGGGTGTGAGGGATGAAGTGCGGGAGATGTGGGAGACACGGTTGAGGGCGTTCTCAACCACCGAGGGGGGGATGTTACGGTCCTTGAAAAACGAGGACAACTGAGATGTACGGGAGTGGAATGCCTCATCCTGGGAGCAGATGCGGCGGAGGCGAAGGAATTGGGAATAGGGGATAGCATTTTTGCAGGAAGGTGGGTGGGAGGAGGAGTATTCTAGGTAGCTGTGGGAGTCGGTGGGCTTGAAATGAATATCGGTTTCTAGGTGGTTGCCCGATATGGAGACAGAGAGGTCCAGGAAGGGGAGGGAGGTGTTAGAGATGGTCCAGGTAAACTTAAGGTTGGGGTGGAAGGTGTTAGTGAAGTGTATGAACTGTTCGAGCTCCTCGTGGGAGCATGAGGCGGCGCCGATACAATCATCAATGTAACGGAGGAAGGCGTGGGTGGTGTCACGGACATAGGTAGGGAGTTCCTGGACCAAGGGGGAGAAAATGGTGTCTAGACACCACCCACGCCCTCCACCTCCTCCAGAACTTCCAATTCCCCGGTCCCCAACACCTCATCTTTACCATGGACGTCCAGTCCCTCGACACCTGCATTCCCCATGCAGATGGCCTTAAGGCCCTCCGCTTCTTCCTGTCCCGCAGGCCTGACCAGTCCCCCTCCACTGATACCCTCATCCGCTTAGCCGAACTCGTCCTCACACTCAACAACTTCTCTTTCAATTCCTCCCACTTCCTACAGACAAAGGGGGTAGCCATGGGTACCCGCATGGGCCCAAGCTACGCCTGCCTCTTTGTAGGTTACGTGGAACAATCCCTCTTCCGTACCTACACCGGCCCTAAACCCCACCTCTTCCTCCGTTACATTGATGACTGTATCGGTGCCGCCTCGTGCTCCCACGAGGAGCTCGAACAGTTCATACACTTCACTAACACCTTCCACCCCAACCTTAAGTTTACCTGGACCATCTCTAACACCTCTCTCCCCTTCCTGGACCTCTCTGTCTCCATATCGGGCAACCACCTAGAAACCGATATTCATTTCAAGCCCACCGACTCCCACAGCTACCTAGAATACTCCTCCTCCCACCCACCTTCCTGCAAAAATGCTATCCCCTATTCCCAATTCCTTCGCCTCCGCCGCATCTGCTCCCAGGATGAGGCATTCCACTCCCGTACATCTCAGTTGTCCTCGTTTTTCAAGGACCGTAACATCCCCCCCTCGGTGGTTGAGAACGCCCTCAACCGTGTCTCCCACATCTCCCGCACTTCATCCCTCACACCCCGTCCACGCAATAAGAACCAAAAAAGAATTCCCCTCGTCCTCACGTACAACCCCACCAACCTCCAGATCCAACGCATCATCCTCCGATACTTCCGCCATCTGCAATCCGACCCCACCACCAAAGACATCTTTCCCTCCCCACCCTTATCTGCTTTCCGGAGGGACAACTCTCTCCGTTACTCCCTTGTCCGCTCCACACTCCCCTCCAGCTCCACCACACCCGGCACTTTTCCCTGCAACCACAGGAAGTGCTACACCTGCCCCCATACCTCCTCCCTCACCCCCATCCCAGGCCCCAAGAAGACTTTCCACATCAAGCAGATGTTCACCTGCACATCTGCCAATGTGATATACTGCATCCGCTGTACCCGGTGTGGCTTCCTCTACATCGGGGAAACCAAGCGGAAGCTCGGAGACCGCTTTGCAGAACACCTACGCTCGGTTCGCAATAAACAGCTGCACCTCCCAGTCGCGAACCATTTCAACTCGCCCTCCCATTCCTCAGACGACATGTCCATCCTGGGCCTCCTGCAGTGCCACAACGATGCCACCCGAAGGTTGCAGGAACAGCAACTCATATTCCGCTTGGGAACCCTGCAGCCCAATGGTATCAATGTGGATTTCACAAGTTTCAAAATCTCCCCTCCCCCACCGCATCCCAAAACCAGTCCAGCTCGTCCCTGCCTCCCTAACCTGTTCTTCCTCCCACCTATCCCCTCCTCCCACCTCAAGCCGCACCTCCATCTCCTACCGACCAAACTCATCCCGCCCCCTTGACCTGTCCGTCCTCCCTGGACTGACCTATCCCCTTCCTAACTCCCTACCTACACTCACCTTTACTGGCTCCATCCCCGCCTCTTCGACCTGTTTGTTTCCTCTCCTCTATCCATCTTCTATCCGCCTCCCACTCTCTCCCTATTTATTTCAGAACCCCCTTCCCCTCCCCCTTTTCTGATGAAGGGACTAGGCCCGAAACGTCAGCCTCTCTGCTCCTATGATGCTGCTTGGCCTGCTGTGTTCATCCAGCCCTGCACCTTGTTGTCTCGGATTCTCCAGCATCTGCAGTTCCTACTATCTCTAAACCTCAGGGGTTGCCTTGGGCACTCGCATGGGCCCCAGCTATGCCTGCCTGTTTGTTGGTTACGTCGAACAGTCCCTCTTCAGTATAGACACCAGTACTGTTCCTCAACTCTTTTGCCGTTACGACTGGAGCAGTTCATTGATTTCACTAATAACTTCCACCCTGCCCTCAAATTCACCTGGTCTATCTCGGACACCTCCCTTCCCTTTCCTGATCTCTGTTTCCATTTCTGGCGACAGCTTACGGACCGGCATTAATTATAAACCCATAGACTCCCATAGCCACCCAGACTACACCTCTTCCCACCCTGTCTCCCGCAAAAACTCCATCCCATATTCCCAATCCCTCTGTCTCTGTCGCATCTTCTTTGTCAAGGAGACAAGCATCCCAGATGTACGCTTTTTTCAAACAATGCTCTTATCCCCCCTCTGTCATCCAGACATCCCACCACCACGCCTCCTTCATTCCCCACTCTACAGCTCTTAACCACACCCCCCCAAACATAATAAAGATATGGTCCCCCTTGTCCTCACTTTCCACCCCACCAGCCTCCGCATTCAACATATCATCCTCAAACACTTCCGCCAACTCCAATTAGTCCCCACCACCTGGAATATCTTCTACTCCCCATCCCTCTCTGCCTTCTGCAAGGACCACTCCCTTTGCCACTCCTTAGTTCGTGCCACACTCCCCACCAACCACTCCAATCTGCCCAGTACCTTCCCCGTAACCGTAAAAGATACAACACCTGCCCACACACCACCTCCCTCACCTCCATTCAGGGCCCTAAACAGTCCTTTCAGGTGAAACAGAGCTTCACCTGCATCTCCTCCAACCTAGTCTACTGCATCTGGTGCTCCCAATGTGGTCTTCTCTATGTCCGTGAGACCAAATGTAGACTAGGTGACTGTTTCGCTGATCATCTCCACCTGGCCCAAAACGGCCAGCCTAACCTCCCGGTCACCATTTCAACTCCCCGTCCCACTCCCCCTCCAACATGTCCATCCTCGGCCTTCTCTAGTGTCGCAGCAACTCAGAATGCAAATTTGAAGAACCCCTTATCTTCCATCTGGGCACCCTACAGCCCGGAGGACTCAACGTTGAGTTCTCCAGTTTCAAATAACCTTCCCACCCATCCCCTGCCTCTATTTCCAGCCCCACCTCCTCCCTTCCATTCCACCTTCTGACCCTCACCTCCAGCCACCAACTGGATTCATCCCTCCCATTGATCAACCAGGTCGTACCTAACACTGGTGTCCACCTATCACCACCATTCTGCCTCCACACTTCCCCCTTTATCTGCAGCTCCCCGCTAACCCCACATCCAGTCCTGAAGAAGGGTAATACCCGAAACTTTGACTGCTCCTTTCCTCCAGATGCTGCCTGACCTGCTGTATTCTTCCAGGCTCCTGTTTGTCTACCTTGGGTGTCAGCATCTGTAGTTTTTTTGTCTCTAATTAAAAACCATTGACTATTAAATTGAAGGTTTGGTATATTAGAGGAAACATGAATAAGGAGGATGGCGGAATAATCGCTGACCGTAAATAGGCAAGGGTTTGTAGCTTTTTTGAATAAAATGTAATTTAATGCTCACGTAAATCTTCAACAAAACAGAACTTTGGGCTTTTTGTTTATGTACAGCAAATAGGACTAATCAAGCATAAATGTGCAACAATGATGGATCCAAGTCTGACCAATCCTGTTCCAATACACTACGCATTAAACACTTATTACTGTATTTGCCATTTTGCATGATGTGGAAAGCTGAAGTCTTGGTTATTTTGGTGAATTTTATATATTTCAATTTGTGGTTTGAAAATGTGATCTAAAAGAGAATACTATGATTATTTCAAAACATTCTGAACTACAGCATTTCATATCGTCCCTTTCACCTCTTCAGAGGTGTTTTGCCAGACACGTGGGACATGAACCTGGGTGTCCTGGCTTAGAGGTAGGGACACTACCATTACACCACAAGAACCCTTGAAGCTGCACTATTTTATTTTTTTTCTGTATCCAGAAGTGCTCTGACACACAACTGAATGTTTTTTTTCTGATCCCCAGATCACCCCTAGTATTATTTTTTCCCAACTATTACCCACCACCAATAAATCGCCTGTATTTTCCAATTGAATAATTAACATGCAAAGCCTATGAAGGACAATGCAAAGCATCAAAGGTGAGGGAGAGGTAGGGAGAGGGGGAGGAGGCTAAACCAAAATGGAGTTGGAAGCAACAGCATTTCATTCTGTGTTCTCAGATTTGGAACAGCTGAACTTTTATTCCAACTTCAGAGGGAGTGTAAGATTAGAGCTGGAGCTGATCAGCCGCCCATTGTAATCCCAGTTTGGGTTAACCTTCCATTGACTTTACCGAATTAGATTTCTATAGCGAAAGAAAAGTGTGAAATGTTATGACTGTATTTTGATGAGCAATGCCACTGTAAGATGGAGCATACAGTCTTTGTTTGTGAAAGGAGAGTTGCAGCAGCCTGAATTGAGTGAGAAACGACAATGTCTGCTGTGCTGAAAAACATTTCAATCAGGAAACAAGTAACCAGACAGTAACAAATTATTCCATTAACTTTTAACCTATGAGTAAGATAGAGGAAAGGACAGAAACAATTATAATCAGCATGCAAATTTCTTTACGAATCAGTGTCTGGGGACGGTTAAAAGTCTGGCCTCCATAAAGATGCAGTGCAAAGTTGTCTGCAAATTACTCTTCTACTGAGAAATTTACAAACTAGTCATTATTGTTTGTTTTTTGAAACTGGATTTACAACTAATTTAAAATGTAATGTTACACTGACATGATGGCCTGGGCAAGACAGGGCATGCACAGACTCGTGACTGCTGCCATCTTTGCATTGGGAACATACACTCCACATACTAATATCACCCTTTTCATAACCACTGAATGCTTCAAAGTGCCTTACAGCCAATGAAGTACTTTTGTAGAAACAACAGCAGTTAAATCCAAGTGCTGCCTTCAATTGGAAGTAAAATGAAATGGACAGTATAACTGGCTGCCAATCCATTACCTTAGGTTTAACACTCTCACTGAAGATGGACATTCAGGTGAAATTTCAGCAGGGATGAAGTAATCCAACAACATGAACATCTACACCCTCTTTTTGTTCATGCTGACAGATTTAACAAATATATAATGCAGTTTCTCATGTTGTGGAGAATTGTCTACAGCATTTGATACTGGAATCGTACTGCTGGGAATAGAGGATCGGTGTCTGTTGATTAACAAACATGGAGTCAATCTTTGCATAAAATTCAGCACTTATTTTAATTCAGAGTTTGTCAATATATCTGCTTCCAGTATGTGTTCCCTGATGCCAAATAAGGAACCTGCTATATAAAGAGAAAATGCTGGAGAAACTCGGCATGTCTGGCAGTATCTGTGTAGAGAGAGAGTTAACTTTTCAAGTCCAACATGACCCTTCTTTCGAATGAGACCAAAAAGTAGCAAACAATGTGTATTCAATGTTGTAGCCCTGCCATAAAATATCCACTAAATAAACAAAAGGGGTAATGGCAGGTTATTCACTAGCATTGTTCCTGTCAGAGCTGTAAATGAAAACATCCACAAGGAATCTGCTTGGTAGGAAGGAATGCAGGATATCCGCAGAACAAAAACAAATTTGCTGCCAAGGCAGGAGCTACATTGCAAAGTAGATTGTAATTTCAATTCCCGTTGTTTACCGAACATTTGTAATCTCTTTCTACTTTTCTCATTCAATATATTTCCATCATGAGAATGCTAAATGCAGCTTTAGATGTCAAAGATACTGAGGTTACTCAAAATGGCGCAAAGTGTGCATTCTGGAGTTTTAACTTAAAAACATAATCAATTGAGAGACATTCTAAAAAGTGGTGTAATAAAACAAAGAATTGCAGATAAAAGAATGTTCCTGGAAAAGCTCAGCAGATCTGGCAGCATCTGTGAAGGAAAAAACAGAGTTACTGTTTTGCATCTGGTGACCCTTCCTCAGAACTCCAGAAATTGCTGATGAAACTCAGCAGGAGTGGTAGCATCTGTGGGAAGAAAACAGAGCTAATGTTTTGTGTCTGGTGACACTTGTTCAGAGCTCAAAACCAGTTCTAATGAAGTGTCACTGGACTTGAAACGTCAACTCTGTTTTCTTCCATGATGTGGCGATGTCAGTGTTGGAAAGAGGTGGACAATGTCAAAAATCACGTCACACCAAGTTATAGTCCAACGGTATAGTGTGATTTCTTACTCTGCTTTCTTCCCTCAGATGCTGCCAGACATGTTGAGCTTCACCTGCAATTTGTGTGAGAACATGAAGTATCTTGTTTAGTCTTTATTGCTAGGACAGTACAAGGTGCTTGGACTGGGAACTAATTCAAAGGAGCCAATAAGTAGACATCAGGAGTGAGTTCTTACTTTCACATGTAATTTGTTCTTTCTGTCAATTTTTTTGGAAATAGTTAAATCATCTTGTTGACAGCCATGTATACTGGAGGCTATATTTAAAGGGCCACAATTATGTTATTTAAATATCTCCTTTTTAGTGGTTCCTTTAACACAATTACAGACTGAGGTTTAAAGGTGAGACCTCCTTATCATAGCTCGGTGAGACCTCCTTATCATGATAGCTCAGTGACACACCAGCTGGTGCATTTACCCATTGACACAGACTTCTTCAGAATATTACTTCGATTATTTTTCTTTTTGTACTTGTTTACTTCCTGTGGCAACAGCTAATGGCCCTGCTGGGATTGACATTGCTTTGGAAACATTGGAGAAATGTGTTGATAATTGAAGATGTAGCACATCATAATTCCTGTACCTCGTTTCTCTTCATTTTCAGCTCTGGCTCTTGGAGAATGTGTCCAGGGACAGCCCATGGTGTCACCATCTGGCTTTTATTATCAGGACCAGTGGATGTCAATGACCTGCAATATTCACCGTTTTGACACTCTTGCAAAAATTAAAGAATGCCTCCATAGAAAAATTGTCTACTTGCTTGGAGATTCCACCATGCGACAGTGGTTTGAGAGTTTGACTCAATTTGTCCCAGGTTAGGCTATGTGTCATGTCTCTTTACAGTCGTACAGGCACTGTTCAAAGTTCCTAATTTTGCTATGAACCTCTTAAACTCGTCATTCACAAACTGCAGACTGTTGTCTGATACAATCTCATCTTGCCTTCAGCGCTTTGATCACAGTCACCACTGTGGTGGGGATAAGTGTAAAAACTTCTATTCACCTGGAATAGGAGGAGTCTAACCTGATCAAATATCCATTTCTTGATAGTCAAACATGTCTGATCCCGATCTTTGCCAAAACCTATCTGAGAGACTAGAAGATAATAGGCCTCCGTTGATGTCTGACTATTGATTGCACATGTATAGTAAGATGATATAAAATTCTAATTTTTTTGTAAAAACTCTGATCATCATCCAGGATGTTGCGCATAAGCCTGACATTTGGATACTCCTAAGTGCCCCTTGTGAAATCTACAAAGAAATCTTCCCTCATCTGCTCTTGTTTTACCAGCATGTGATTGAAAATGAGAAGAGCATTTACTATGGCCAGACACTTCCTCTGTTCTTGATTTTGGTGTAAGGGCTGGTGTGTTGGACTGTAATTTACCAACCATCCAAACAGACCCTCCTGATCTGAGTGAATTACACACCTGCCTCCTGGGTTTTCCTGAGACTTGAAGGGGAAAGGGTTCTGGAAGAGAGAGAGAGAAGTCAGGTCCACAGTGGAGGGAGTAGGGGATCGGGTCACAGATTTCAGGTGCAAAGTTGAGGGAGTGCAAGGTTGGGTCCTGGGGATCGGGTCTGGAATGGAGGAAGTTGCGGAGCAGGTTCTGGGGATTGGGTCCAGAGTGGAAGGGGATAGGATCGGGTCCCAGTGATCGGGCATCAGCATTCCTGACACTATTTCACCTCCCAAACAACAACCCCCACCCCGCCCCCAAGTTCCAGGGCGATCAGATTTAACCTGGTGGGGATTCTTCTCCCCATTAGCAACCCTGCTGGAGCTATCCCTGTAGTTGCTTGAGGGGTGGTTCGATATTCAAGTAGGAACTGGGACAGTTCGGTATCGAATGAAGCTGTCGGCTGTTTTTTTTTTGAAGCCTGCCTTCAAAGTTTAGACTGCTGTTTCTGCCAGACCATTGGAAGATAGATGGTATGGAGCTGTCCTTTTATGCCGAATTCCATTCACCTTTAGGAAATATTTGAATTCCCTGCTGCTAAATGATGGCCCATTGTCTGTGATCAACACTTCCAGTGTCTGTTTATTACAAAACTTGCTTGCAGTTTTTCTGTTGTCTTCCCCCTGTTTGACGCATCACCTCTATGCACATACAATCACTTTGAGTGGGCATCCACATTGACTAAGCATGTTGAGCCCATGAAAGGGTTAGCATAGCGTATGTGTAACTGAGTCTAGGATGTTCCTGGCCATTTCCATGAATGTATGGCAGCCTCTTACAGTAATTCTTATCCTTGTTGGCACTTTGGGCACAGCCCCACCAATGCAGCAATGTTGGCATCCATGACTTCTCGCCAACATCTTGAGTTTGGACACTCCTGGATAGCTCTGGTGGTTTTCAGCCAGTATCTGGCAGTGACCTTTGCTTGGGACAAAAGCTGTTGCTCCCCATAATAAAATGCCATCCTCCACGGTGAGCTGGTCTCACTGAGTCCAGAAAGGTTTTAATTCTGGTTGTGATGGTCCTTTTGTTTCCCTCATCACCACCAACTGTTTTAGTTTTGCCAGGACTGGAACTTTTTACGTCCACAGTCTGATATTGTCAGCAGTGACTAGAAGGGTGTCCAGAAAGTTTAAAAGCAGAAGGACTCTTCCAGTGGCAACACCACCAGCTGTGTATCTACTAGTGTGGAATGGCTCACGGTATCCACATTTGCTATTTGGCCTCTTGGACTGTGTTCTGGTTGTAATAGTATGTACTTAGAATGAAAGCCCACTGCTGAATTTGAACTGAAGCTATGGACGGCATGGCTTTGTTCTCTTTGAGTAGCTCTAGTAGGGGTTTGTGGTCTGTTACCATTACAAATTTACATTCATAAAGGTATTGGTGGAACGTTATGACACCAAAGATGACCACCAAACCTTCCTTCTCTGTCTGGATGTATTTGCGCTCTGCATCAACAAAGTCTGGGAAGCATGTGCTTTCTTTCCTTTTTGCTGGGCTATCTGCAAGCCAACTCTACCCTGATACCACACAGTGACCCACCATATCTCACTTGGGATCATAGTGTGCCAACACCTTAGACGATGATAGCTGCTTCATCGCTTCCTTAATGGCTATGCCTTGGCTACGAAACCATTTCCGAGACTGACGCTTTTCAACAGCAGACGTAAGGATGCCAAGATGGAGGCCCAGTTACCTATGAGCTTTCTGTAATAATTCACCAACTCAAGGAAAGACTTAAGCTCTGGTACCAACCTGGGAGCTGGGGCACCTTTAATCGTCTGCTTTTCATCTTCCAGAGGATATAACCTGGTCTTGTCAACTCTGTGGGCAAAATAGGTAACTTGGGGTGCCTAGAATACACGTTTCTCCCTTCCAAGACGTCTGCCTGCCTTGGAGATAAGTCTAAGGAGAATGCCCAAGTTCTCCAATTCCTCTATACTGGTCTTCCCTCGTAACAGCATGTCAATGGCGACTTGGGGTAGACCCTGCAAAGTGTTCACCATTGTCTGTTGAAAGATTGCTGATGATATGCTATGGCAGTCTCATATATTGGTACAAACCCTTATGAGTATTAATTGTAGCATGCTTCTGGGAATCCTTATCTAACCGTAATTGCAGAAATGCATGGCTCATGTCCAGCTTTGTGAAGGGCAGCACCAAAACCCCATAGCCCCCAACCAGCTTTGCCTCTAAGTCCTCTACGTGAGGTATGGGGTATTTATCCAGCTGTGAGAAGCAGTTTACTATTTGTTTAAAACTCCCACAAAGGCAATTCGACCTTCATAATCGGTACAACTAGTGCTTCCTATTCCACAAAGTGAACTGGTTTGATGATTTCTTCAACTTCAGCCTCCTGATTTCTGCCTCTACCTTTGCACATAAGGCAAATGGCACTGGGAGGGCTTTGTAGAAACATAGAATTGCATCCTGGTCAACATGCAAGGTGGCCTTGGCTCCTTTGATAGATGCTAGGCCTTCCTGAAAAACTTCCAGGTATTTAATTAGGACTTCACTCAGGCAGCCATTTTCTAATTAAAAAATGTTGAGCCAATCAAGGTGAATCTTTCTCAGCCAATTCCTCCCCATTAGGCTTGGGCCTGAGCCTTTTCCTACAATTAGTGATAACTGAACCAGCCTCTTCCCATACGAGACCGGAACCAGAGTTGTACTCTTAATCAGTAAATGTTTCCCGGTCTAGGTTCTCAGTCTAGCCGAGGTCTTACGCAAACTTTAGGGTTGGAGTCCAGAGGAAATTCTGTTAAAGACTGGTTCTGCAGTCACTGTAACAGCCATGCTAACATCAATCTCCATTAGAACCAGGTGACCATTTCACCAGATGTTTGTTTTGATTGGTTCTGATTTGGATGTTGCTCAGTAATTTGACTGCTGTAAGCCAGATGTAGGTGGACTTTCCAGGGTGTACACTTTCCTGGATACTGGCCTATGAGTTCTATTACTCAATTAAGGCTTAGTGGGCCTCTTTTGCTATCTCAAGTCTGCACACCGGCACAACTACAATGGCTTGCCAGCCCGGATCCTGAAGAAAATGTTAACTGTTTGCCTTTGTTTTGGGGTTTTGCTGTGGACTGGCCTAATGTCCCTGTGTTCAGGGGATATATTCTGAGTGAGCTAAGCAATTGCCTTCCCTCAAGCGGTGTCCCCAAAGTTCAGTCAGCCTGGTGAGAGTCTCCACTTCCACTGACATACCCTGCATTTCATATACTTCACTTGCTGCATTTTTTCAAATGATAAAGCCAGTTGCAGTTCCTGTTTGAAGTCCAGCTGGGCTTCAGCTAATAGGCACTTTTGCATGGTAACATCATTAATTCCACATACCACATGGTCTCTCAGCATCTCATTAAGGGTTAAATCAAAGTTGTATGCCTCTGCCAGTCAGCTTAACCTCGTCAAAAATCCTGGCACAAATTCCCCTGGTTCTCGAACTGCCAAGTAAAACAGATATCATCTCAGAATTAGAGGAGGCTTGGGTTGTAATATCCATTAACTAAATCTGTCACCTCTTGAAAAATGTTAGTATCTGGTGCCTCGGGAAACCCGAAGCTCCTAAAAACTGAAAAAGCTGCGGGTCTATAAACTGTCAAGAGAATTTCTCGTTGCTTTTCACCTGCCCAAATGAAATTTGCCCAGAAAAAAACTATTGCATTCTTTTCACATGCTGGGCCCGGTTTTCAACAACAGGATCGAATAATGGCGTAATGCCAGAAATGCTTACCCTAAATCAAGACAATTGTTGAGTGTGAATTTCTCCAGAAGCATAGTTTTATCTCTTGCTATCAATAAAATAACTCCACAGAGACTGGTATCCCATCACCGTGTCATCCTTTATTTACATATGTGTAGTACTTGACACTGGTCCACTTTCCTGAGAGCCATCTCTCAGAGTGAGTAGAACCTCTGGCACTCTGGTTAATATCTGTCAGCCAGGGCTCCCTGATTGGACCAGGTTAACAGCCCCAATCAGGGACCTCATATTTTGAGGTCCACCTGGCTGACATTGTCACAATCACTGCATATTTAATGATCAGTACTTTCCATGAGTAACTATTTACTTGACATCATCGGAACCCTCCAAATTGTCCAATTTAAATGGACGTTGTCCTGGCATGGAGGTCTTGTTCTTGTGTGGAGGCCTTCTTCGTCTGTGGCGTCCTGGTATTCCACGGACCTGACAGGCAGTCTTGACCAGGAGTGGCGGTCTCAGCCCAGCATGGAGGACTTTTTCGGCAGAGGCTTCCAGTCTGGCATTTCAGCTGTCCAGCATTTCAGCCTTGTTCCAGAATGGCAGTCTCATCCCGGAATAGCGGGCTTGTCCTGGCTGTGTCTTCAAGGTATTCCACTGTTTCTTAATCAGCTTTCCCCGAAGACCAGGAGCTGTTCACTGAACTGTGCTGAAATATATTTTAATTTTGCTTTTTTTAAAATTATTACGTATGACTTCAGTCATTGATGTTGATGCCATGCCAGGGTGACTTAGACAACTTTTCACTGTATTTTCCATGTACAAGTGACAATAAATTTCTATTCTATTCTATACTAACATTTCAGAGGGTTCCAGGTGTAGAGGAATTGCTGTGCAGTTAATCAAGTCATTAACAAACAATAATCCAACTTAATAAGCACCTCACTACTGCTGGGGAGAGTCTCGCCTCAAAATGGTGGCTCACTGGTTAGCGCTGCTGCCTCACAGTGCCAGGGATCCAGGTTTAGTTCTAAGCTTGGGCAACTATCCGTGTGGAGTTTGTGCATTCTCCCCGTGTCGGCGTGGGTTTCCTCCAGGTGTTCCAGTTTTCTCCCACAGTCCAAAAATGTGCAGGTTAACTGGATTGGTCATGCTAAATTGCCCAAAGTGTCCAGGGATGTGCAGGTTAGGTGAATTAGCCATGGGAAATGCAGGGTTACAGAGATGGGGTGGGTCTGGGTGGGATTCTGTTCGGATGATTGGTGTGGACTGAAGGGCCGAATGTCCTGCTCCCATATGATAGGGATTCTATGGAAGATGTAGGAAGTTGATCCTGATGTCGAGACAGGCCTTACTTGAATTCTCACACAATGCTGTCACATTTCTCACCATAGCCTGTGTTGTTCAGGTCCCATTGGATTCTGTTCAATGCAAACCTCTCCAACATAGACAAAGGGCAGTTAGTTTGAATGGTCAGCTACAAGATGGATACAGATTGGAGCCACTCACATTGTTATCTGCCACCCTAGGTTACAACAGGAAAGTCAAAAAGTACATCGCCACAGCAACTCTTGGGACCACTTGGGGCATCATTTGCTAAATCAGCTGGATGGCCCATGTGGGTCAAAGTGATGCCAACAGCCCATGAGTCCAGTCCCCATTCCGGATGGGGTGGATTTAGGATATGCCTTTCTGTTCTAGCTGTGGTGGTGTGGCACTGTGGATTAGACTTATCTTCAGGCAGAGAACTCAAGGAGAAGAAGAAACCTAAGAGGCGGCAATTTTTCCTGGTGCAGAGGGCAGAAAAAAATGGGCCAGTATTTTTTTTGATCCAACTTGGCCTTGGAAATTATTTTGGGATTTCTGAGCTTCCCAGCGAGAGGCATTAGCCCTGTCACTGCAATAATTCATGTTTTCAGTGCATCTACTGATGAAATTATGAAGAAAATTCCAGTCTCTTCTTAAATTTTCTGGAAAATTGTTCAGTGGATGTTCAGGAAACACGGGGCTATGTTCTGTTTCCTGACCATGGAGAGTGAGCTATTGTCAAGAGAATAGAGGTCAAATGCACTCAGCTAAATTCATTTTCTTCAGGTTTGAGTAGCTCATGATGTTATGTGGATTTGGTGGCTCTATTAACAGCAAGAAGGCCAGGAACCTGAGGTGCACCTGCAAGCCTGAGATATGGCTTTGTCTGGGAATCATGTTAATGCTACAGGACAGTAAATATATGCCAGGCCTCAGCCTGGAATAATATGTCAGATGTTACAGTTTTCACTGTATGACAGACAGAATTGTGGACTGCATTCCTAGACGATTAGCAAGAATATAGAATGCCATATAATAAAAACGCAGTTTGCCTTTCCATGTTACTATAAATGAACCGACATGATTATATATTGAGTTGGAATGTGTTGTGGAAATGATTATTTATGAGCCACTCCTGTTGGCATCAATGTGCAAACTGTTCAGCAACTTCTGAGCTTGTGAATTTCTGCAAGTTGCTGAATGGTTTATACTCCTGCATTGTTAGACCATAAGACCATAACAAATAAGAACAGGAGGAGGCCACTCAGCCCCTGAAACCTGCTCTACCGTTCACTAGTATCATGGTTGATCCAGCATTCCTCGTATTCACTTTACTGTGTTTCCTGTAACCTTTGGTTTCCCTCAATAGAATCAAGACTCTGTCTATCATGACCTTAAATATACACAAGAACTATTCCCCCACAGCTCTTTGTGGCAAGGATTTCCAAAGACTCTCAAACCTCTCAGAGAAGAAATTCTTCCTCATCTCTGAAATTGGCATCCCTTTATTCTGAGATGATGCCCTCTGGTCCTAGACTCTGACTTGAGAGGAAACATCCTCTCAGCATTTACCTTGTCAAGTCCATTAAGAATCCTTATATTTCCCTCCCCACCCTTATCTGCTTTCCGGAGGGACTGCTCTCTCTGCGACTCCCTTGTCCGCTCCACACTCCCCACTATCCCCACTACCCCCGGCACCATTCCCTGCAACCACAAGAGGTGCTACACCTGCCCCTACACCTCCCTCTCACCCTCAACCCAGGCCCCAAAAAAACCTTCCATAATAAACAGATGCTCACCTGCACATCCGCTAATGTGGTCTCTTGAGTCCGCTGTTCCCGAAGTGGCCTCCTCTACATCAGGGGTGACCAAACGGAGGCTTGGAGACGGCTTTGCGGAAGACCTACGCTCGGTTCGCGACAAATGACAACGCCTCCCAGTCATGAACCATTTCAACTCCCCCTCCTACTCCCTGGATGACATGTCCATCCTGGGCCTCCTCCAGTGTCACAACGATGCCACCCGGAAACTGGAGAAACTGCACCTCATATTGCGCCTTGGGAGCCTGTAACCTAATGGTGTCAATGTGGACTTTACTAGCTTCAAAATCTCCCCACTCCCGACCTCATCTCATGACCAGCTCCCCCCTCTCATCCCCACCTCCTTGACCTGTCCGTCTTCTCTCCCACCTATCCACTCCTCCCACCTCACTGACCAACCTCCACCCCCACTTCCTACCTACACTCACCCTTACTAGCTTCATCCCCACTTCCTTGATCTGTCCGTCTTTCCTCCCACCTATCTGCTCCACTATCCACCTTCTATCACTGCCCCCCCCAACTATTTATTTCAGAGCCCCCTTCCCCTCTCCCATTTCTGAAGAAGGGTCCAGATCCGAAACGTCAGCTTTCCTGCTCCTCTGATGCTGCTTGGCCTGCTGTGTTCCTCCAGCTCTACACCCTGTTATTCCAGGCCCGAAATGTCAGCTTTCCTGCTCCTCTGATGCTGCCTGACCTGCTCTGTTCCTCCAGCTCCACACCTTGTCATCTCAGACTCCAGCATCGGCAGTTCCTACTATCCTTAAGAATCCTGTATGTTTCAATGGAATCACTTCTCATTTTTCTAAACTTCAGTGTGTGGAGCCCCAGCTTGCTTGGATTTTGCTCACAAGTCAATCACTCCATACCAGGGACCATCCTAGTGAACCTTCCGGTGGCTCAGCGGTTAGCACTGTTGCCTCACAGTACCAGGTTTGATTCTATTTGGTGGGGGGGAGCGACTGTCTGTTTGCACATTCTCCCCATGTCGGTGTGGGTTTATTCCGGGTGCTCCGGTTTCCTCCCACAGTCCAAAGATGTGCAGATTAGATGGATTGGCCATGCTAACTTGCCCATAGTGTCCAGGGATGTGCAGGCTCGGGGGATTAGTCATGAGAAATGCTGTTTGGAGGACCGGTGTTGGCTCGATGGTCTGACTGGCCTGGTTTCCACACTGTACGGATTCCTTCCGCAGTTTTTCTCCATTTCTTTTCTCCATCAAAATGGAGAGCAAGACATATAGATTAACAGAGCTAGAGAACAAAGCAATGATGTGGTGGAAGAGAAACAGAGTGATATTTGCAGAAAAATGTTTTTTTCTGTTAATAGCAATTGGGTAGAATCGGTAAAAAAAAGGTTGTGCTGTGAGATCAATAACTAATTAATTTATTTAGTTGACTCTGAATAAATTTTTATAAAATATCGCACGATGAACATTGATGTTCACCAGGATGTACGTCCTCTGTGTTCCCAGAGAATGATTTTCAGTCTGCGTTCACTCAGTCAGATTGAAGTATTCCTCACACGGAGGACTGTGAAATCTGACACAGTTCATTCTCACCAGTCTCGCCAGTTAATTTTGAGGTCAGATAGACCAGCATTGGCAGAGCACCGGGAACAGGCCATCAGTCTTGCTGTCTCTTCATTGGAGAATGGTCCATAAACTTAAGGTGAAGAAAGATAAAAGAAGAAATTATTTGCAAAATAGGTGTCAGTAAATAATGAGATATAGGGTTGGTCCTTTTGTCTATGATTACTGCTAGGTGCCTCTGTATGATTCATGTCCCTACTCAACAATCACAAAAATCTGTGGCTTAATTTTGAGTTTTGCTGATGGAAAAGTTTTCTCGAAGTTTCATATCTGTTAGCATTAGGAATATTACAGTTTAGCATTTTGAGTCTTTAGTTTTCTATTTTAGATCTCAAGATATTGGACCTTGGAAATCCTGTAAAGGTGGGCCCCCATCTTGCTGTGAACTTGGAGAACAACATTGTGGTAGAATATCGCCCTCATGGTCCTCCGATCCAATTCAACTCCATTGCAAGCCAGCACCTGCAACTCATTTCAAATAAACTGGACGAGATTACAGGAGGGAAAAACACAGTGATAGCCATTACCTTAACGGTCCATTTCACCCCTTTTCCTGTCAAAGTCTACATTCGGAGAATACAGAATGTCAGGAGGTCAATTCTACAGCTACTTGACAGGAATTCAGATACACTGATTGTAATAAAGACGGCCAATGTGCGGGAATAGCCCCCACAGATCATTACCTATTACAGTGATTGGTACGCTTATCAGATTGATTCAGTGATGAGGAAGATGTTCACAGGCATCAATGTGGTATTTGTAGATGCCTGGGAGATGACAATAGCACGTTACCTTCCTCACAATATACATCCCAGCAACATTATTATAAAGAATGAAATAGATGTGTTTCTTTTATAGGTGTGCCCCTCTATACAAAGATAGACAGTGTATTCTCCTTCTTCTGGCAGTCCCTCAAAATGAGGAGGACACTTCCCCATGGCAGGGACCTAAGCATGAACTTTTAATGTGGAAGGTTGTTGAAATCCTGTATTATCATGTTTGGATTATCGTATAATGCAAAACTTAAATAACACCATTAGGCATCTTAGACAGCACTATAGGTATCCATAGTGTTGCTGCTCCTGCTGACGTCATGGAGCCTGAATGACATAGAATGGCATGGCCAGTTTGTGTGCTGTGAAGCATGCTGGGAAGGCCACATGTGCAAGTATGTTTGGTCTGCACCGGAAGCCTCAGGAGTTGCCATGAAGATGGCATTCAATCAGATTGGATGCTGAATAAAAACCGAAAGAACTGCGGATGCTGTAAATCGGGAACATAAACAAAGTTGCTAGAAAACCTCAGCAGGTCTGGCAGCATCAGTTCTGAGGAAAGGTCACCAGATCTGAAACGTTAACTCTGTTTTTCCCTTCACAGATGCTGCCAGACCTGCTGAGCTTTTCCAGCAACTTTGTTTTTGTTCCAGGTTGGATGCTGATTGGATTCTTGTTTCTGAAACCTGCTCCACAGTTTCACAGGCATCCAGCAACAAAACGTACAGACAGAGGACCAACAGTGTTCTGCAAAGGTCTTTTCATGAGCATTTCTCCTGCCTTCACTTCAACCAGAAGCAATGCCCGAGGTGACTCAGGGTCAACAAGAAGCTCGTTATAGAACAGTGCCACATCCAAACCAACCTGAACCCTGGGATCAGGGAGATGATGGCACTGCCAATGACTGTGAAAACGACAGTGGCATTTCTGGATGAGAATGGATGCTATTTTCAACATTTGCTGTTAAGCTCCATGTTGGGTGTGTGGAGCCAGCCATTCATTCAAATGTGGAGGTAGCCTGTTGCTTCCCCTGCACTAGAAAAACACATTCCTACGAACCATTAATTTTAACAAACCTGATCAGAAATTGCACATACACTACCTGCTAATCACGATTGGGTACGATCTGTTCATGCACTACCTGGCCAATCACGATTGGCTGTGATCTTTTCATGGGAAGAGCTTGAGACTTAGGCATGTATAACTAAGAGGAAGAGCAATCAGGAAGAGGTTGCTGAGCTGAGCAAAATTGGAGGCTTGGGCTGTACATACTTCAATGCAAGAAGTATAACACATACGACGGATGAACTTAGAGCTTGGATTAACGCTGGGTTAATGCTTGGATTAATTAATTATGATGTTGTTGTATCACAGAGACATGGTTGAAAGAGGGACAGAATTGGAAGCTTAATGTTCTGGGATACCCATGTTTTAGGTGAGACAAAACACAAAGCAAAAGAGGTGGGGAGTTGCATTACTGGTTAAGGATCATATCACAGCATTGTTGAGGGAGGATATCCTGGAGGGACCTTGCAGTGTGGCATTATGGGTAGAGTCAGGAATAGGAAGGGTGCAATAACAATTCTGGAATTTTACTGCAAACCTCTGAGCTGCCAGTGGGAGATAAAAGAAGAGATGTGTAGTCAGAATCTGGAAAGATGTGAAAATAACAGGGTTGCTGTGGTGGGTGATTTTAACTTCCCCCATATTGACTGGACCCCCTTAGTGCTGGGGATTTGGATGGGGAGCAATTTGCTAGGTGCATCCAGGAGGATTGCTTGAAACAGCATGTGGATAGTCCAATGAGGTGGGGGTGGGGGTGGGTGGGCTCATACTGGACGTGGTATTGGGAAATGAGATCGGCCAGGTGATCAAAGTATCAGCGGGGAACCATTTTGGGCATAGTAACCATAGTGCTGTAAGTTTTCAGATACTGATGGATAAGAATGAGAGTAAACCTCGGATGAAGGTGTTAAATTGGGGGAAGGTGAACTATAACCGAATTAGGCAAGAATTGGAGAATGTGGATTGGGTGCACTTGTTTGAGGGGGTCAGAGCCTAGGAATCCGGCACCCCCCAACAACTCTTTCTCCGGTATTTCGATGATATCATTGGTATTGCTTCCCCTTCTGGTCCAGAATTGGAAATGTTTATCGAGTTTGCTTCCAATTTCCACCCTGCTCTCAACTTCGCCTGGTCCAACTCTGACTCCTCTTTCCCTTCCTTGACATGTCTGTTTCCATTTCTGAAGATATACTGGCCACCAATATCCACTGCACACCCACCGACTCCCATAGTTACCTTGACTATACATGCTCACACCCTGCATCCCGAAAAAACTCTATTCCACTCTACCCGTTCCTCTGTCTCTGTGTCATCTATTCTGATGATGCTGACTTCCACAAGCGAGCCTCCAGAATGTCCACCGCTTTCTTCAATCGAGGATTCCCCAGCACCGTTGTTGATAGGGTCCACAGCTGGGTCTGAACCATCTCCCGCACTTTGGCCCTCAACCCCTCTCTTTCTTCCCACAGAGAAAGGGTTCTCCTTGTCCTCACCATCCCACCAGCATCCACATCGAGAGGATCATTAGTTGCCATTTCTGCCACCTCCAGCGTGATGCCACTACTCGACACATATTCCCTTCCACTCATTTGTCAGCCTTCCACAGGGACTGTTCCCTCTGGAATACCCTGGTCCATTGTTTGTTCATTCACAACACCACCCCACAGCCTAACGATACCTTCCCCTGCAACACCAGAAGGTGTAACAGCTGTTCGTTCACTTCCTTCCTATTCAGTATCCAAGGGCCCAAACACAACTTCCTGGTGAAGCAGGTTACCTGCACTTCATACAATCTCGTCTATTGTATTCGCTGCTTGTAATGTAGTCTCCTCTACATCGGGGAAATAAAGTGTAGACTGAATGACTACTTCATAGACCACCCACGCTCTGTCTGGAAGAAAGACCCTGAGCTTCCAGTTGCCTGCCACTTCAATACACCACCGTGTTTCCTGGCCAACATCTCTGTTTTAAGCTTGCTGCAGTGCCCCAGTGAAGCTCAGTGCAAGCTGGAAGAACAACACCTCATTTTTCACTTTGGGACCCTGCAACCTTCTGGACTCTATATCAACTCTCCCATGTCCTTACCCCAACCCCCACACACCAGGCCTTGCTACCACATAGTCTACTATTGCACACAACCCATTGTTGGACACTAACAGTCCCCGTTAATAGCTATTAAACCCCTGGCCAGATTGCTATCCATACCTTTGTCTATCCAACTGTCCTTGTGTCTCTTTAGGTTCTAGCCCTACCTCTCCTTTACTCCTTACCCACTTTCCCCAACCCATCTTCTGCATATAACCAATACTTTCCTGGCTATGATCATTGAGTCCTAGAACTGTATAGCATGGAAACAGACCCTTTGGTCTAACTCGTCCATGATGACCAAATATCCTAAATTAATCTAGTCCCATTTGCCAGCATTTGGTCCACATACCTCTAAACCTTTCCTATTCATATACCCATCCAGATGCCTTTCAAATGTTCTTATTGTACCAACTTCCACAATTTCCTCTGGCAGCTCATTTCATAAATGTACCACCATCTGTGTGAAAAAGTTGCCCCTTAGATCTCTTTTAAATCTTTCCCCTCTCACCTTAAACCTATGCCTTCTAGTTTTGGACTCCCCCCACACACTCCCCCCAGCCAAGGGAAAAGGCCTTGGCTATTCCCCCTATCCATGCCCCTCATGATTTTATAAACCTCTATAAGGTTACAACTCAGCCTCCGATGCTGCAAGGAAATAGCCCCAGCCTATTCAGCCTCTCCCTATAACTCAAACCCTCCAACTCTGGCAATATCCTTGTAACTCTTTTCTGAACCCTTTCAAGTTTCACAACATCCTTCCTTTTGCAGGTAGGCTAGAAATGAATGCAGTATTCCTAAAGTGGCATAACAGCTGCAACATGACTTTCCAACTCTTACACTCTATGTACTGACCAATAAAGGCAATATGTCAAATGCTTTCTTCACTGTCTTGTCTACCTGTTTCAAGGAACTATGAACCTGCACTCCAAGTCTTTGCTCAGCAGCACTCCCCAGGACCTTACCATTAAGTGTATATCCTGCCCTGATTTGCCTTTCCAAAATGCAGCACCTCACATTCATCTAAATTAAACTCCATCTGCCACTCCTCGGCCCATTGGCACATCTGATCAAGATCCCATTGTACTCTGAGATAAACTTCTTTGCTGTCCACTACACCCACCAAGTATCATTGAAACGTTCTCACCTCTGACACCATATTTAAACCCCACCTCCAGAGCTGTGCAGATGTTGCAAACCAGGAACAGTGTGCTGTTTGATTTACATCATTGAGGACAAGTACAGAAAGGAAACATACCCTCTCACTTTGCTGACAGACACCTGAAGGTAATTGTGCAGAGGGTGGTTGAAAGGGGCACTGTTCTGTAGCTGATGGACGACCCCAGGAGGCCATATAAAACAATAATTTGCACACCCAATGGAAATTTAATTCTCCCAATATGTAATAACATTCTGCAGCATTTGAAAAGTCAAAAGTTCATTCAAACAGAATCAGAGAATTATATAACCTAATACACTTGATTTCTGAAATATCATTTCGTGCTGGTTAGACAGCCACATTCTATGGAAAAACACTGCAGTCTGTAGTAAGAATGAAACAATATTTCAGAATTCCAAACACTTTGCAGTAGTATAGTTATATGATGGATTCAAGGAGGAGCTCTCTTCAATTCTGGAGCAGAGTCAAACAGGACTCAAAACATTTACTCCATTTCTCTCTCCACAGATGCTGTCGGACCTGATGAGCTTTGGCAACATTTTTCAATTCAGTCTGCATTATCTGCAGTTTCAATTTTATTCGAATGATCCATGAACCTTGGATACATGACTGAAACTGTTGGTTTCTGAATAGTATTTGAATGCAGCTTTGTGCTGATTCCTTTCCAATATCAGAACAGACAGCAAGTAGCTCCAGGCTCTGCTAATTTCCCACCTCAAGTCTCTACTGTCTCAAAACCCTCATTTCTAGAAAGTATTCTGTACTTTGCT